ATGAATTTTATTTATTTATTTTTATTTATTTAAAAGTTTTATATACCGACCTTCTCACCTCTTTTGAGGGACTCAGACCAGTTTCCAACCATAAAAACACATACAATCAGTAAAACATCATAGTTCATATTACAATAACAGATTAAAACAACAAATATATTCAAAACTACAGTGGTCAGTCGTCATACTAAAATCAATTATACATCATCTTCCATCCATATCTTAGGGTGTTGGCTTACTCGTCGAATGCCTGTCTCCATAACCACGTCTTCAACTGTTTCCTAAATGTCAGGATAGAAGGGGCGGTTCTGATCTCCATTGGGAGAGAGTTCCAGTCGAGGGGCCACCACCGAGAAGGCCCTGTCCCTCGTCCCCACCAGACGCAATTGCGAGGCTGATGGGACCGAGAGCAGGGCCTCTCCAGACGATCTTAATAATCTTGATGGTTCATAGGGGAGAATACGTTCGAGAGGTAAACAGGGCCGGAGTCGTTTAGGGCTTTATAGGTTAACACCAGCACTTTGAATTGTGCTCGGAAGCTAATTGGCAGCCAGTGGAGCTGGTGGAACAGCGGAGTGGTGTGCTCCCTGTACCCAGCACCCGTTAGTAGTCTGGCTGCCGAGCGTTGGACTAGCTGCAGCTTCCGGGCAGTCTTCAGAGGCAACCCCACGTAGAGGGGTTGTTATTGTCGCTGAAGGCTTTCATGGCTGAAATCATTGGGTTGTTGTAGGTTTTTTGGGCTATATGGCAATGTTCTAGAAACATTCTCTCCTGACATTTTGCCTGCATCGACGGCAAGCATCCTCAGAGGTTGTGAGGTCTCAGAGGTTGTGAGACTTCACAACCTCTGAGGATGCTTGCCATAGATGCAGGCGAAACGTCAGGAGAGAATGCTTCTAGAATATGGCCATATAGCCCGGAAAACCTACAACAACCCAGTTGTTGTTGTTTTAAAAAAAGAAAATCAATTTCTGGAGGGTTCCAGGGCCTCCGGAACAGCCCTGGGCTGCACTTTGCCCACATTCGGTCTAGCACAGTGTTTCTCAACCTTCCTAATTCCGCAACCTTAATACAGCTCCTCATGTTGTGGTGACCCCCAAACATAAAATTATTTTCGTTGCTACTACATAACTGTCATTTTGCTACTGTTATGAATCGTGATGTAAATATGTGTATTTGTAGTATTTTTAAAATGCTTATATGTTGTTCTATAACCCACCTTGAGCCAAGAGGAGAGGCAGGTAAGAAATAACATCATCATCATCATCATCATCATCATCATCATCATGCAAGTGACTTGCAGTTTCTAAAGTTGCTCCTGATATGAAAAAAAGCAGTGGTTCTCAACCTTCCTAATGCTGCGACCCCTTAATACAGTTCCTCATGTTGTGGTGACACCCAACCATAACATTATTTTCGTTGTTACTTCATAACTGTCATTTTGCTACTGTTATGAATCGTAATATGAACATCTGATATGCAGGATGTATTTTCATTCACTGGATCAAATTTGGCACAACTACCTGATACGGCCAAATTGGAATACTGGTGGGGTTAGGGGAAGATTGATTTTGTCATTTAGGAGTTGTAGTTGCTGGGATTTATAGTTAACCTGGAGCCCCCAGTGGCGCAGTGGGTTAACCCCTGTGCCGGCAGGACTGAAGACCGACAGGTCACAGGTTCGAATCCAGGGAGAGGCGGATGAGCTTCCTCTACCAGCTCCAGCTCCTCATGCGGATACATGGGAGAAGCCTCCCACAAGGATGATAAAAACATCAAATCATCCGGGCGTCCCCTGGGCAACGTCCTTGCAGACGGCCAATTCTCCCACAACAGAAGCGACTTGCAGTTTCTCAAGTCTCTCCTGACACGACAAAAAAAAAAGTTAAGCTACATTCAAAGGAATTCAATTCAATGGAATTGAAGCAAACTTGGCACACAGAACTCCCGTGACCAACAAAAAAGACTGGGAGGATCTCGAGGGGATTGACCTTGAGTTATGGAGTTGTCGTTCACCTACATCCAGAGAGTAATGTTGACTCAAACAATGATGGGATCTGGAACAAACTTGGCATAGACACTCAATATGCACAAATGGGAACATTGGTGGAGTTTGGGGGAAAATAGACCTTGACATTTGGGAGTTGTAGTTGCAGGGATTTTTAGTTCATTTATAATCAAAGAGCATTCTGAACCCCACCAACAATAGAATTGGGCCAAACTTCCCACACAGAACTCCCATGACCAACAGAAAATATCGTGTTTTCTGATGGTCTTTGGCAACCCATATGACACCCCCTTGTGATCCCCCCAGGGATCCTGAACCCCCTGGTTAGGGCACCATAAATCAGAAATGACAAGAAGGCTACAACAACAACTCTCATCCTGAGATTTCCTTCCATCACCCAGAGGAGAGGAGGAGAAGGAACAGACCCTGTGATTCAAGACCAAGCTCCGACATCTGAGATCCTTAGTGTCCACCATATTGTCCTTTGCTTCAGGCAGCAAAATATACAAGACTTATTCCTGTTTCACATGCATGAAAGTTTTGATACAGGCCAAAATTGAGTGAACCTCCTTGACTAGAAATTGCATTATTTGTCCATCCTAGAAAACAGAGCTACCCGAATGTCAAGTTTTTGCAGAGCTCAGTCTTCACATTCTGTTCACTCCCTTTTATTGGCTCTTCATTTAATGGTGGAAACCTCCTAATCTCAAGGTATAAATGGTATAAAACCCATCCATGTTAAAGTCAGCCATAAAAGAAAATTCCACTCTTGCAAGTGCAGCTGTAAAACTAGTTTAACTTTCAAAGCTATTGGGACATGAAATGAAACATGAAATGTAAGGACCAGATCCACTTTGTTCTTACAGTCGTCCCGTGTTTCTTTTCACCGGCTGTAATTTCGTGATGAAATTCTCTTTCTTGTAAATTGAGAGAGAGGGTTACAATTGGACTTCAGATTCTTCCTTCACTCTCCCAATTTGACTATTCAGATTGGTGGAATGAAAAGAGCTGGGGGAAGAGGATTCACTTTCGCCCACTCATCTCTAGGCAAGCTCCACAAATGTAAGAGCAGTTGGTATTTTCTAGATTGGTACTGGACTAAAAATAGGGTACCCTCAAGCAACAGGCTAACTTAGGAGGTGCAGAGCAGGCTGCATGGCAGAGATTCCATTTTCCAACAGTACACAATGGACACTCGATCTCAGGACGAATTGATGAGGGAGAACTATTAGGACTGTCCTCCTAGCACTTACCACCTACTATTCTTGGTCCCAGCTCTGTCTGAGATCATAGTCATTTCTTCATGTTATTAATTGTCATCCATCAAGTGAGATTCAACCCATAACAACCCTATGAATCAAAGACCTCTGATACTCTGTGGTGGTGCAGCGGGTTAAACCACTGAGCTGCTGAACTTGCTGACCAAAAGATTGACGGGTTGAATCCGGGGAGTGGGGTGAGTTCCCGCTGGTAGCCCCTGCTTCTGCCAACCTAGCAGTTTGAAAACATGCATATGTGAATAGATCAATATGTACTGCTTCTGTGGGAAGGTAACAGTGCTCGATGCAGTCATGCTGGCCACATGACCTTGGAGGTGTCTACAGACAATGCTGGCTCTTCATCTTAGAAATGGAGATGAGCACCACCTCCCAGAATTGGACACAACTAGACTTAATGTCAGAGGAGCCCCCGGTGGCACAGTGGGTTAAAGCGCTGGGCTGCTGAGCTTGTTGACTGAAAAGTCGCAGGTTCAAATCTGGGGAGCAGCGTGAGCTTCCTCTGTTATCTCCAGCTTCTGCCAACCTAGCAGTTCGAAAACATGCAAATGTGAGTAGATCAATAGGTATCGCTCCGGTGGGAAGGTAAGGGCGCTCCATGCAGTCATGCTGGCCACATGACCTTGGAGGTGTCTATGAACAATGCTGGCTCTTCGGCTTAGATATGGAGATGAGCACCACACCCCAGAGTCAGATATGACTAGACTTAATGTCGAGGGAAAACATTTACCTTTTACGTTTAGACTGAATGTCAGGGGAAACCTTTACCTTTACCTTACTCCGTGTTATTAATATTCCTGCCAAGATTGTGCAAACTCAAGGTTGTGGCTTCCTTTATTGAGTCAGTGCTTCTGTAATGTGTTTTCCTTGATTCCTGATGCCTTCAATTTAACCAACTTTTATAGAGTTGCTATAAGTTGAAGTCGGAGAAGCCATGGTGGTGCAATGGGTTAAACCTTTGTGCATGCTGAACTGCTGACCTGAAGGCCAGCAGTTCGAATCCACAAGACGGGGTAAGCTCCCATTTGTCAGTTCCAGCTTTCTATGTGGGGACATGAGAGAAGCCTTCCACAGGATGGTAACACATCTGGGCATTCCCCTGGGCAACGTCTCTGCAGAGGGTTATTCTCTCACATCAGAAGCAACTTGCAGTTTCTCAAGCCGCTTCTGACACAATAAAAAAAAAAGTTGAAGTCAACTTGACAACATTTAACAACAACAACAAAATGTTGTTTCATTATATTCTCAAATTGCAATAACCTCATTTTAGAGGTTTTGGCTTCTGGGAACAGTTCAGTCCTGAACATTAGGAAGAACTTCCTGACTGTGAGAGCCGTTCAGCAGTGGAACTCTCTGCCCCGGAGTGTGGTGGAGGCTCCTTCTTTGGAAGCTTTTAAGCGGAGGCTGGATGGCCATTTGTCAGGGGTGATTTGAATGCAATATTCCTGCTTCTTGGCAGGGGGTTGGACTGGATGGCCCATGAGGTCTCTTCCAACTCTTTGAGTCTATGATTCTATGATCTGTGCTAGGACCCATTTGTTTGTTTCTTGGCAATCCATGATATCTTCAGAACTATCCTTCAGCACCACATTTTGTGTTTGATTTTCTTCTTCTCAGCTTCCTCACTGTCCAGTGTTCCCATTCATACACAGACTTTGGAAATACTATGGCATGGATAATTCTTTTCTTACATTGTGTATTTATTATATTATTAGGCACCTTCTGGAATAGGATCTTGAAGTGTCTTCCTTCCAAGCCAAATTGTTCAACGGGAGTTCCAAACTGTGAGTAGTTTTGCGGTGGTTTATATTGTCTTGGACTGTTGCTAGAAATAAAATTTCATGTTCAAATTATGGTATTGTTTTGTTTTTTTGCACCAAGCCATATATTTATGGGGCACTTGACAATGAAGGCGTTGGTGTTTCTGAAACGGAGAAAAATGGCTTTCCCTCTGCTCTGACACGGACTAAGAATATGAATCTGTTTTCCATCTCATAACCAAGGCATCTTACTGCCTGAGGCAGAGCAGCAAATATGGCGCCCTTCCCTTCTGAAGTCAAGGATACAGTACCCAAGGCCAGCTATTTTATTTTGACATTGAAGCTAGAAAATCCCACAGGTACTCTGCTTAGCAAAGAAAATAAATGACACCTTGCTGGTGTTTCTTCACCATTAAAATATGCTCCCGGAGCAGCCAAGCTCCAGATGTTGTTGAAACACAACTTCCAGCAACCCTCATTATGCTGGCTAGGGCTTCTCCCAGAGCCTTCGTGGGAAAAGTGTTGCAGCTCTTGAAGCTGGCAAGTCTAGAAACGAAGACAGTCGAGCTTGCATACTGATCGGGCCCATCTCGCCAATTCTGCGGGGTTTGGGTTTCATTTTAATCATACTTCATCTCCTAAACCAATTTGTGTGTATATATGATTAACTGTGATCGGAAGATATCATCCCTCCTTGCAAAAATAGATTGAGATGAGTATTTGAATAAATCATAAGAACAACTAACCTGATACCCCATAACATCATGCAGTTGGCTGAGCAAGGAATGTGCTCATCCTTGACCCTGCATAACTCACCGCGTTCAGGGCTTGCTTACAGAACCGGTGATTAAAAGTTCCCACTTTGTAGACTTGCTTCACACTAGCAGCCTGTTTTCTCCCACCAGTTCTTCTTGATCTGGCCCACTTTGCAGCCTTAAGGATCCCTTCAGCTATCTATATTTATCACCATGTCTATAGGAAGTGGGGCTACCCTTGAAGATGGCCCGGAAACTCCAATTGGTCCAGATTAATAACGGGGGCGAATTACAGGGAGCGATCAACCCCCCTGTTTAAGGAGCTTCACTGCCAAGATTGTGCAAACTCAAGGTTGTGGCTTCCTTTATTGAGTCAGTGCTTCTGTAATGTGTTTTCCTTGATTCCTGCTGCCTTCCATTTAATTTAACCAACTTTTATAGAGTTGCTATAAGTTGAAGTCAGAGAAGCCACGGTGGTGCAATGGGTTAAACTTTTGTATGCTGGCATGGCAGTGCCAGGAGATTTGAATTCCTTTTCTTGCACTGCTAGTTTCCATGAATCTATTTAAGCATGCATTTGGCAATCAGGTAGCTTCCCCAAATTGCAGTCATAGGTCCAGTAACCTGTCAATCATCGCTAGAGCCTTTACGCCTGCCCCTTTCCCCAGGGTTTTGGAGGGAAAGGAGGGCTTTTGTTCAGTCCCACTGTTTGAAGCCTAACAGCAGGACGTGTGGGATTCTCTTTCCCACCTGCACAAAAGCTTCATTTCTCACAGCTTTGCTGTGGGAAAAAAGGAAAGATTCCACAGCTTTTGCTGGGAGAATACAGCCAGCCTTTGCTGGAACAACAGGACAGTTCCTACAGCCTTCATGGAGAAACTAAAGGACACCTTTTCAGCTTGGCAGATCTACAGATCTACAGTGGTGCCTGGTAAGGGACCACTCGGGCTATCCATAAAGTTTGGAGCTGGGAGTAGGGGCCTCACGCCAGCAAGTTAAAGAGAGGTTGCCCAGGGAAGGGTCAAAGGCTTTTCCTAAGGAAAGAAAGGAACAGTTTACCACCAGTTGCCTGCCCCCTTGTTGGCAGATTGAGGAAGCTACCGGTTTTCCAAAGTTATAAAGGGTTTAATTCATTTGTTTGAAGATTTAGGCCCAAATAAAGAAATTTGTTGAATCTATCTTGAGCTTCAATAGAACTTTGTGTTGGGAAGTCTAAAGGGCCCTTCAGCTGAGGCACCCTGGCGTCCTGTTGGGCATACAGAAGGCACGTCCTGTAAACAGACATTATTTCAGGCCCAGCGTGCGACAGCACACTTTGTGCATGCTGAACTGCTGACTCTTTGGCTTAAAATGGAGAGGTGGACACGACTGGACTTAATATCAAGGGGAAACCTTTACCTTTACATGAAATGATATTGTTGTTGGGATGATAAACTGGAAACTATGGTTCTAGCCTTCCTGTTGCTGGAAAGGATAGATAGCTGCTACAAGGGCAATATGCAGTTACTTTGCATGTGCTTCTAAAATGAGAAGGAGATGGAAATGAAGCAAGCATCATAACAGCACTGAAGGCAGCTGACCAATTGCATTTCTGCCTTGCAATAATGTGATGGAGACTGGATGCTTGTCAAAGCCATTCTGTAGTTATCTCCCAAACAGACCCCCATCGATGCTTGCTGATTAAGCATTGCAGGTTCCGTCACATCTTTGACTCAGAAAGGGTGGCCAGTTTTCGCAAACCCTGTCACTTCTGGATCTGGGCCAGGGATATATTGAATGCCAGCAGAATGGTAACACTTTCCTGCACTTCCTGCACAGTTCTGCAGGCTGATGATTTGTATGACAGAACACCTAATGCATCTCTGGAGAAAATCCTTTCTTGTTTCTTCTTCCTCCTTGGAGGCATCGATAACCATTCTGTTTGCATGTGTTTCCTCCTGTTCTTGCCCTCCCCCCACTCCCTGTTATTGATCTGGGAAAAGTGAGCACACATTTCTCTCAAAGCATTGAAAACCAGGCTCCCTTTGAAAAGAGCAACTCCATGAGACCAGCCTGCTGTTGGCAGGCACTCTTCCTTTGGCTTTCTGCGATTGACTCAGCCCTGACCCTTTCATTATCTCCACAGCCCACAGATGCCAAAGGTCAGGGTGGCCTTAAAGATGGCCAGAAAGACTTTTCAGATCAATCAAGTGCAGCGTAGGGAGCAAATGTAATGAGAAGCACCTTTCCTAAATTTGGGAGCATTGTGTTAATTGAGTTTTGTATTCCGCTGTCCATGATATTTTTTTTTTTTAAAAAAAAGGGAAATAATTCCTTTAGATTTGCATCTGCATTCACCAAGCCATTCTGCATTCATATAGCTGTGTATAGCTGTGCTGACATTCCTTGGTTTATATTTTTGATATATATATAAACCAAAGAATGGGATTTTGACCTGTATAAATAGGAGTATAGTGGATGTGTTCATTTTATTTCCAATGAACTGCATATTTTTTCAAAGAAGCTGGTGCCTCATTTCCACATCACAACACAAATTTGCGTGTGTTTTAAACGTTCTCCCAACATACTGCACTTTGCTGCAAATTTTGGTGTACACCAAGGTTTGAATGGATGTTTGCATTAAATTTTCCTTAATGTAGGCATTTACTGATTATATATTTATAATTATATATTTATACTAGCTGTCCGTTGCCACGCGTTGCTGTGGCCCAATCTGTTGATCTGGAAAAAAAAGTAATGAGAAAGTGTTGGTTTCTAATATATGTAATGTCTTTATGCTTGTGGGTAAACAGTATTTCTTGCTGTTTCTTTGTCAGTGTTGATGTGGGGAGTGTCTGGTTTGCACACACTGGAACATGCAACATATCATTGTCCTTCTTTAAGGGTCCCTTTCAAATCTATGATACTATATCTCTCTGTGTGTGAATCATATCTATCTATGTATCTTATCTATGGCTGGATGGCTCTTTGTCAGGAGGGCTTTGATTACGTTTTCTTGTCCTGATGAAGGGAGTTGGATTGGATGGCCTTAAGTATTTTCTGTTGGTCATGGGGGTTCTGTGTGGGAAGTTTGCCCCGATTCTGTCGTTTGTGGGGTTCAGATGCTCTTTGATTGTAGGTGAACTGTGAATCCCAGTGACTAAAACTCCCAAATGTCAAGGTCTATTTCCCCCAAACTCCATCTGTATTCATATTTGGGCGTATTGAGTGCTTGTGCCAAATTTGGTCCAGATCCATCATTGTTTGAGTCCACAGTGCTCTCTGGATGTAGGTGAACTACAACTCCCAAACTCAAGGTCAATGCCCACCAAACCCTTCCAGTATTTTCTGTTGGTCATGGGAGTCCTGTGTGCCAAGTTTGGTTCAATTCCATCGTTGGTGGAGTTCAGAATGCTCTTTGATTGTAGGTGAACTATAAATCCCAGCAACTACAACTCCCAAATGACAAAATCATATATTTTTTTTGAGTAATGGTCACTCCTTGTGTTGTGAGACTTTTGTTGCAAAATTTGGTGTGATTTCGCTCATTGGTTCTTTTGTTTTTAAGGTACTCATTACGCACAGAGCATTTATATATATATAGATTACATCTTTGTTTCATCTTTTTTTTTTCACTGATGCAATTGATACTGATTTTTAGCTATCATGCGGCTGCTAAAAAAGCCAATGGGATTTTGGCCTGCATCAATAGGAGTCTAGTGTCTAGATCCAGAGAAGTTATGCTACCTCTCTATTCTGCCTTGGTCTGACCACACCTGAAATACTGTGTCCAATTCTGGGCCACCACAATTGAAGGGAGATGTTGACAAGCTGGAATGTGTCCAGAAGAGGGTGACTCAAATGATCAAGGGTCTGGAGAACAAGCTCTATGAGGAGCAGCTTAAAGAGCTGGGCATGTTTAGCCTTCAGAAGAGAAGGCTGAGAGGAGACTTGAAGAGAGCCATGTATAAATATGTGAGGGGAAGTCATAGGGAGGAGGGAGCAGGCTTGTTTTCTTCTGCCCTGGAGACTAGGATGTGGAACAATAGCTTCAAACTAACAGGAAATGAGATTCCACCTGAACATTAGGAAGAACCTGAGTGTGAGAGCTGTTCAGCAGTGGAACTCTCTGCCTCGGAGTGTGATGGAGGTTCCTTCTTTGGAAGCTTTTAAAGAGAGGCTGGATGGCCATCTGTCGAGGGTAATTTGAATGCAATATTCCTGCTTCTTGGCAGGGAGTTGCACTGGATGGCCCATGAGGTCTCTAGCGACTCTATTATTCTATGATTC